GCCCTTTTCCTGGGTGTGCCCCGGGCGCAGGCAGGCAGCCAGCCCACCCGCGCCCCAGAGAAGCCCCCCGGGTAACGCTGCTGCCTCGGCCGAGCGTGGCCTGCGGGCGCAGCTGCCGGGCCAGGCCTCAGCGGAAGGCCGGGCGCGGCGAGCAGGCGGGAGGAGAGAAGTCAAAGGCCGGAGCTCCGAGGAAGCCTTGCGCAGCTCCCTCGGGTCCACGCCCGCGCCCTCCTCCGGCCCTCCGCGCCAGCCGCCCGGCCTCACGGTCGCCGCTCCCTCGACGAGCCTTTCCCTCCCCGCAGCCCCTTCCCTCGCCCTTGCTGGATCCTGGGATGCGCTCCTGGTCTCCCTGCGGGACGAGGCTGCGGGCGTGGCCGACAAGGCCGAGATGGTGCAAACGATGCTTGCCGCCCTCCTGACTTTTTTACCACCCCCTGCGGACACCCCCGTCCTCTACGTGGACAGGCCACCCGACTGCCTTCTCCTCCACGGTCTTCCCTTTCCTGCGCCCGTTTCCAAGGGGCCTCGTTCCTATTGCGTTCAACTTATTCGATGTTTCTTCTGACGCACTCATCTCTCACCGCCATATAACAAAAACCATTTTATCATGGCACATTTATTGCCTGATTCCCCAACCTCCGGGTGGCTTACATAAAAACATGATAAAAACCATAAAAACCATCAATTCGAAAACAAGCATCCTGTAACATGACAAGTGCTCCAGAGCAAAGTAATACCTTCGCCGCCTTCCTTTGGTTCGGGGCTGTCTGGATCCTGCAGGGCAGAGTGACCCAGAGCAAGGGGGCCGCCCAGAAGGGTTCTTCTAACATCCCCCCCGCTCCGCCCTCGCTGCATCCGCAGAGTGCCGTCCTGCAGCAGGGTGACACGGGCCCTCTGGGTGAAGGGGGCCCGGGGCCCCCTCTGCAGAGGCATTTGCTCAGCATCTGTCGGATAAAACCGCTCGGATTTGTTGGCTTTGCTGTGGGTCCAGAGGAGGTGCCTGAGGAAGAGTCCTGCCCGGTTACCTGGGAACAGCCTGAACCTGCTGGACCTGAGGAAGCGGAGAGGGTCCTCTGAGCCACAAGCTCAGCCACCTGCTTCCTAGATCCACGCCCCTCCGGGCTTGTGAAAGCGGCCGGGGGGTGTCGTGCGAGTGGGCTCTAGTGGTGGTGAATTCTTCTTGGGGGGAGGGGGTTGTTCCGTTGCCCTTTAAAGAAGCCATCACGAGATCCCACCATACTGGACAACTTTCAGCCAGTTGCCTAACCTCCCCTTTTTGGCTAAGGTGGTTGAGAAGGTGGTTGCGCAACAGTTTCAGAGGACCTTGGATGAAGCGGACTGTCTGGACCCCTTTCGGTCAGGATTCAGACCCGGGTACGGGACAGAAGCGGCTTTGCTCGCGCTTCCAGATGAGGTGGTGCGTCCATCCTTGCCCTGCTTGGCCTCTCGGCAGCTCTCGATACCATCGACTGTGGTATCCTTCTCAGGGGACCGGGGGTGGGCGGCACTGCGTGGTGCTGTTTCCCCTCCTTCCTCCAGGGCCAGCTCAAGTTACTGGGGGTAAGGGAGGAGAGATCCCACCCTCGGCCCCTACTGTGTGGGGTGCCGCAGGGTTCGGTACTCTTCCCCCCCCCCGTTGGACATCTACGTGAGGCCACTGCGTGAGCTCATCCGTCGCCACGGGGTGAGGGCATCCCAGGACATTCAGCGATATCCCTGCCAGTTTGGCTGAGATCCCCTAGAGCAGGGTTTCTCAACCTTGGCAGCTTAGCACAGATGTGCGGATTTCATTTCAATTCTGGGAGTTGAAGTCCACACATCTTAACATTGCCACGGTTGAGAAGCACTGCCCTAGAGGTCTTGTTCAGTCATTCTGGGCATGGCCATGCCACGGCGCGCCAGCCGCACCCCTCTGTGTCCTTTGAGGAAATGGGCTCAATAACGAGACCAGGTTTGCCTTTGATGGTTGTTTACCGAAAGCTCAGGCTTGATTAGGAAAGGTCAGGTGTTGTTTCTTCTACGTGAAGCTCAGCAAACGCTTACAAAATTGGGCTTCTAAAATAAGGCAAGTGATTGTGAAGTTAGGAATCCTAGTGTGGAGAGGGGGGAAGGGGAAAAGGGCTCCTGGTAACGCTCCCCAAGATTGCCTTTGCCTTTTCAGCAGTTGGATCCCACTGCTGGCTTCTGTTCAGCCGGGTCAACGAGACCCCTTTCCCATCTACTTGGATCAAGCCGAGGGTCCTCCATCCCAGATTTGTGCCTTACGCATGTCCTGCTCAGAGACAGAACCAACCTCTGCTTCCTCCTCCTAAATCCCGTCCTGCTCTTCTCAGCCCCCCGATCAAGCCGGCCTGGACCTTTCATGTAAAGCATTAGCTACCCCTGCCAGTTGCAGGACCCCAGCTAGCAGCAGGCAGCTGGCGAGTGCTGCTCTTCCGCCAGGCCGGGGCACCTGAAGTGCCAAGGCACACATTCGAGTTCCGGCTGCCCATCTGTGTGGGGTCTCGAGAGCTTCAGGACAGGCACTCTTGGCTGCCAGCTGTGTCGTATCGTCCCGCCAGGCAGGGAGACGGCTGATCGGCTGGCTCAAGGAGCCGTGGGCAACCGGGGTGGCTTCCTGCAGCAGGGGTGCCAGGCAGGACCACGGGGTGTGGGAAGGGCTTGGGCCAGTGGGCTGCAGCTGGGGCGTTCCTGGGGCGTTTTCAGCCTTGGAGGAACTGCCCTCGCTCTTCCCATGGCCTACGCACCTGCTGCTCCCAGGTAGTTCCGCGTGGTGCAAACGCGGTGGTAACTCAGGTGCTTCTCTCGCACGGTGGGATACCGCCCTTCTGCCTCCCCTCCTTTCCCTGACCTGGAGAGTCCCTCGGGACACCTAGAAGCTGGAAGGGGTTGTGTAGACAGTGCTTAGCTTGAACTCCCTGGCTCTTCCTTGGTAGACCCTGAGTCAGGGAGCGTGCCCAGGACTCCGGGAATGAGCTCCAGGCACCAGAAGATGTAGAAGGTCTGCGCCAGGCCCGCAGCACGCATGTGGTCAGGTGGTCCTGGCCTAGCAGCTGGGGGAAGGCCCCATGGAGCGTGAAGGCGAGAAGCTACCTGGAGAGGCTGCAGGCGAGCCCAGCTCCTGGCTGGAGCAGCCCGTTGCCCTGCCAGGTGGGCAGATCCAGCGCAAGGCCTCCGGAAGGCTGGAGCGACTCGCTCTGCCCCTGCCCCTTGGCGAACCCAATTGAGCACCAGGTGGGCCCTGGCGTGTCCGACCATGTGGCTTTCAGCATGCGACCCCGGGGCCCTGGCAGACAGCTTGTGGGCGGATGGGACCCACCTGGGGTGATTATAGCCCTGAATTCTGGAAGGTTTGGCACATCGCAGTCCAGTTCCTGCCATCAGCTTGGCTTCGCTGGTCCTGTTGTGGTTGGCGAGCTTCACACAGCATGAAACCAAAACGCAACTTGCTTGTTAACATCTGAGTCTGCTGCACAGGTTTAACCGAGCAATTCTGAGGGCTCCGGGGCCTCGACTGGCTTGTCCAGGAGTAAGCGGAATAGAAATACGTTGATGTTTATTAATTCAGGGTCAGCGGGAGAAGCGCTCCGAAACAAAGTGCTCCAGGTTGGTCACGAGTCACAGCACTTGCACAAGACAGGCCGTGTTGCAGGAATTCAGGAACCCAGTTATTTCTGGATGGCTGATCCCATAGCAATTAGGGTTTTTGCCTGGCACAGGCACAATTCTCTCTCTCAGCTCCTGTCACCAAGCAGGTGCAAGGTTAGGTAAGGACGTGCTCCAGGGAAAGAAATGTTGCCATCCCAGTCAGTTGTCCAAGGAAGGAGGATGGCGGCACAGAGCCGCGGAAACACGCAGGGCTGAGGAAGACCCGCTGCCAAATCCTCGGTCTGCCTTCTGTTGCAGAAGTTCTCCTGAGTCCAGTTTGGGGAAAGCGGGCAGAGCTCCTGCACCCCCCAAATGGCAGCCCTTGACCCAGCCAGTGACTGGGCTGCCAGATCGACCGGGAACAGGTTGCAACTGGCCTCATGGCCCCTCACGGGAACCCACCCATTGTGGGTTACCTCTTAGCGCAATGCGTGAACCGAGCCGATCGTGGCTTATGCAGAGACTAAGCAAATACGGCTTAGGATATTGGGTCAATACAGCTACAGCCTTCCTGGCCAGGTGCATTCTCCATCCACTGGTCCTTCCGCAGCCGCCTGGCACGGCCACGGGGAAATTGCCCTCCTGGTCCTGGACCGCACAGCGCAAGTCCCCCCACCGCCCCGGAGCTGCAGCATTTTCCAAGCTTTCTGCCTTCAGATCCGCCTTTTCCAAGAACACTCACAGATCAAGGGGCTTACAAAATATTCTTTCCTATTCGTTTCTTATTGATATACAAATATGCAAGTTCAAATGCAATTTTCTACAAATGTTTATTTTGTACAATATCCTGACTGAGACAGCAAAGCGTTTATCAACAACTGCAGAGTTGTATTCCAGTTCTTAAGCGATGAACTGCCCTGAGAACAGACAGCAAGCAAGCTCTTTTGGGGCGCAGCTCACAGCATCAGCGTCATCCATGCCAGACATTTATTAGTCCAGACTAAAATAATCTAATAAACAACAAAATTAACAGAACAAAACACGGACCGCTGAACAAGTCATAAACATCAGCCCCAGGCCTGGGACCTCAGCCAGGTTTTCAGAGCTTTCTGGAGCCCTAGCAGGGAGGGCACCATCCTTATCTCTGGGGGGAGGCTGTTCCAGAGGGTGGGGCCGCAACAGAGAAGGCACGCTTCCTAGGTCCCACAAGATGACATTTAATGGAGGGGAACTGGAGCGCACCCACTCTGCTGGAACACACTGGACGGGCAAAAATGATCCGAGATGAGCAGTCCCTCAGACATCCAGGCCCTGAGCCATGCGGGGCTTTACAGGCAATAACCAGTGCTGTAAATCGCATTTGGAAGCCGACTGGCAGCCAACACAGCTCATGCAGCAGTGCAGTGGACACACGGGCACACCAAGAGGTGCCCATTACTGCTTGTGCCACTCCATTTTGAACCAGCTGTAGCTTCTGGGTTGTCTTCAAGGGAAGCCCCAGGTAGAGCGCACTGCAGTAATCCAATCGTGAAGTGACCAGGACACGAGTGAGCATCTGAAGGGTGCAACTGGTGCGCAAGATGAACCTGTGCAAAGGCCCTCCTGGGCACAGCTGCCACCTGCTCTTTGAGCAGTAGTTGCGAGTCCAGAAGGACCCCCAAGTTGCGCACCAGTCTTGAATGGGGAAGTGCAGCCCCACGCACTTCCCCATTCAAGATGGCAACATCTCTGCCCCAGGGGGTAGAGCATACTGATGATACCACACCCCGAAATGGCGGATGACCTCACCCAGTGGTTTCTTGTAGATGTTGAACAGGAGAGGGTCAAGTCCTGAGGTGCCCAACGTGTGAGGGGCAGCAGAAGCAATCTCCCTCCCCCCACTGAATCTGACTGGAACCGCCCGCTGAGGAAGGAGGTGAACCACTGGAGCACAGAGTCTCCTCCTCCTGACCCCCACAGCCGGTCCAGGTCCCTGCAGCGTGTCACTGGAACCCCCAAAATTGGGTTAGTTGTAAAATGCAGGCATTGATGAACTGTACCTAAGCACATACGAAGACAGGCTGTGTTGCAGAAGAAGGGCTGGCCAGCCAACCCTCCAGCCTTGGTCCTTCAGGTCCACCTATGTTGCACCTGGTCAGGCCAGCTAACAGTCACTTGCCCCTGGCCTTCTGCTGGAAGTAGGCCTCAAAGCGGCACTGGGCATACTCCTGGGCAGAAGACAGACGATGCGTCAGGCCCTGCTGTGCATGCTGACCCACATTCCCCCTCAGGCCCACTGTGCTCTAGAAAAAGGGAGGGCAGCCCAGCGCCCTGAGGCCCCTTATAATGCCCCTTGCGATTGCCCTCTGATCAGGCGTCCTGGAAACTGATGGCATTTTGAGGGGGGAAAGAGTTGAAAACCCTAAGACAAACCCTAATAGAGGCATGTCTCAAGAACCCCTCAAATCTCAGCCACAGGGCAGTGTGGACCCCTTCCTTTGCAGCCCTCAGAACTCCTTGCCCCCCCTGCCCCCCGAATCTTCTACTTTTGGCCAGAGCAACTTGGGAAGCTTTTGGGCTGCAGCAGATTAAAATCCCAGAGTTCGGGGCTGTCTCTGGGATCCTGCTGTGCTGGCAGCAGCCCAGGGGAAGTGGCCTAGAGATGGCCTTTCCCTGCACTGGCCCTGGGTTGGGCAAAGGGAAGGGAGCTGGCCCCCGGGACTCACCAGGTAGCCGAACTCAATGGTGGAGATCTTGGCCTGCAAGATAGACCACAGGCCCCAGAAGAAATGGGAGGCCAACGTGAACCTGAAGGAGGGAGGAGAGGAGTCAGTGCAGGGGGAGACTCTGCCATCCCTGCCCCAAATGGGAGCAAACGTGGCCCTCCTGTGGAAATGAGGAGGAGACAGAAGGCCTACGCAATGCCTCCCCCTCCCTCACACGGAAAGGCTACAGCTCTCACCCCAAACCCTGAAGGACCGCCTGTACGGACACACTATTCGTTAGGCGGTTCCGAATGAGGCCACCTCCCTCCTCTGTCCCCAAGACTGACCGGCTGATCTCCAGCAGCATCTCGGCCTCCAGGCGCTCTTGCTCTTCAGGCGAGGGGGCTGCGGCCTTCCCACCTGCCTCCTCCAGGTAACACCGGATGAAGTGTAACTGGGGAAAGGCGAGCCGAGGAAATCAGACAAGGCTGGGGGGATCTCCCTCAGCTGTGGTCCTTCTGCCAGGACACCTGCAGGATCCCTTGGGCCCTACGCTACTTTGGGAAGTCGAAAAATCCCCAAAGAGGCAGGCAAACCATCTCCCGTTGCTACAGAAACCGCATGGCTGTGCCCTGACTGTCCCTAGGAATTGAGCCTTTGTTCCTCCACTATGCAAAGATTCAGAGCCCCCGAGGGAGGACTGCTGCTGAAATAAAATAGGGCCAGCGACAAGACAAGAACCTATGGAATTAAACGGCAAGGGAGCAGATTTTGGTTGGACACCCCAAAGAGTTTCATAACCCATTCCTAGCAACAGAACAGATGCCTCAGGAGGTTGAAGATTCTCCTTTGTTGGAGGTGCTTAAATTATTCATTTGTCAGCTCTACACCCAACGGCCAAACAGGCTCTTGGCAGTTTACAGTCATTAAGAGCAGCAAAAAACTAGGCATTTAAATTAAGACATCCACAGTAAAACACAAGACAAATCAACAGACCAGATTCTAACTCACTAACTCAAGTCCCATAAAACCAGACAAGCGTGGGAGTCCAACTGAGCTGAAATAACTCGGTTTCCAAAAGTTTCCCAGGGACCAAATCCGTCAGGACCAACCTGACTTCTAAGGGGAGGCTACTCCACAGTGCAGCCGCTGCCAAACGAAAAGCAGCCCCCACGAGCCGCTGCTCCACGGACTTGGGCAAAAGGGTAGATGACTGCTGCCCTGGGCCGAAGGTTGGACAAAATGACCCCCAGAGCCCCTCCCAACCCTATGAGTCTACGGAAAAGGCAGTTCTGCCGCCAGGAGAACAGGAGGCCTCGGTCGAGGGGCTCGGCCTCTAACCTTCTGTGGCCAAGCAAAGCGGACCTCTGCCTTGCTCCCCTTCTCCAGCCAGAAAGCAGGACAGCGCTGAACGTGAAACCTTTTTCTTGAATGTCAGCTGTTGATTTCCAGAGGAGCCGGGTTTGGATTGGCTGCTTGCATTGACCTGACCGGTTCAGCTTAAACAGGCCGCCTCGGGCATTCGGGGCAACTAATCTTGGGGGAAGCCAACAGGAACACCTGGGTGACACCAGGGCCGAAGCTCTGCCTCACCTGTCCGGCTGTTGCTCAGTTCCCCTGGAGTGGAGGTGCCCAACTGCTGCTCTCGCCTGGAAGGGACCAGCCGATGCTCGAGGAATTAGGGTGGTGGGTGACCAAGTGGGGAACAGGGTCCTCTGAGGTCCTCTAAAGGAGGCACCCCAAACAATCTTGCGGCTGCTTTTAGTTCTGTGGGGCTAAAGCGGGCATATTCTGCTCCTGCAGGGAAGCTCCATCAGGGTGCTTCACTCCGGCTGCCGCTATCAAAACTCTGGCAATTCAATGACAAGCTGCCACCGGGCAGGAACTGGGTAACCCTTGATCCCAAAGGAACCAATAGAGGCGCATATGTGTAGCTCAGGGTTGAACTGTGGAGTCCTTGGGGGTCTCTGAGCTTGGTTCTTTTCTTGCAAACGTTTTGTTACCCGGCTAGGTCACATCTTCAGTGCTAGAACGGGATGGGCTTTGCTCTCTGTTTATGTGCTGGGGCCTGCCCTGCCAGTGTCGGTGGGGCTGGGGGTTTTGTTTTGCTCCTCTGGTAGTTCCTCGGTTAGGGTATTGTTCACTGCTTGATTGTGTGCCTGGTGGTAATCTCTGCTTAGTACACACACTATTCAAACAGAACACACAGTTCAAACACGCTATTCAAAAGAGACAATAAAAAGGAAAACAAAAGACCAGGACATCTCCTCACCAGCCATCATCACCCAGATAAGCAGAGGTTACCACCAGGCACGCAAGCGGTAAACAATACCCTAACCGAGGAACTACCAGAGGAGCAAAACAAAACCCCCAGCCCCACCGACACTGGCAGGGCAGGCCCCAGCACATAAACAGAGAGCAAAGCCCATCCCGTTCTAGCACTGAAGATGTGACCTAGCCGGGTAACAAAACGTTTGCAAGAAAAGAACCAAGCTCAGAGACCCCCAAGGACTCCACAGTTCAACCCT